AAATCTAGGAACGCTTGTTCAGGAATTCACTATTTTTGGGTTTTTTAATCTTTTTCTAAAAATCTGAAAAATTGAATCAAATTAATTGAAAACAGCAAAAATCAAACTAAAAAAAAAATGAAAATTGAAGGTTAAAATATCTCCCCTTTTTCAAAAAAATAATTTATGTTAGACGTCCTCTCTGTTGTGTAGTTCCGCAGTTAGCAAGTCTTGCATACAACATGCGACCAATTCCCAGATTTAGAACGTTGTTGTCCTCAGCAACAAACTATACTAGTCAAAGAAGCTAATTCTGCCAGGTGGAACACACACACACACTTGTTAAACAGTAAACAAAATAATGATAATCAACATATAAAAGCGGGAAATAATCAAACCATAATCTAAAAACAGCAAAAAGAAAACATTAAAGTCAAGATAAATGGTGAGAACATTGGCCTGGCAACGCCAATTCCCAGATTTAAAATATTTCCATATGATCATTTATTCACCAATTACCTCACTTTCTGAATTTAAAACTACCTAGTAAAGATAAAATGAATAAAACAGAAAAATGACTATTGGAATGCCTCCCAACTAGCGCTTGTTTAACGTCATGAGCCTGACGTTCACAGAGGATCAAGGTGACTTTTAGCAAAGAACCAAAGCTGGCTTTTTCTCCTTGGTCATAGTCATTTTTTTGGATTTCTTTATCTTAACCTTGGGTTTACTTTTGGTTCTTAATAGATGAGGATTCTTGAGCTTTGTTCTTCCATCTCCTTTGTCTTCAACAAATTATGCTTGTACATCTGAGGGAAAAATTGTAAGTGATGAAAAATTAATTTTTAAATCAAGAATACTTACCTGGACTCCATCCACCTTGTGAATTGCCTCATCTTTTAGCTCATCTACCACTGCATCTGTGGTTGCCAAGAATGGTTCTTCAAGAAGGTGAGCAAAAATAGGTTCCACGTCTATATCAATGTCTGCAAAATTTTCTCTGTACTGAAAGGTTTCCCGCCTTCACTAATACATTTTTCAGCAATATTAACCAACACTTGAATAAAGCGATCGGGTAATTGTAGAGTCATCTCCGCAGATCTTATATGCCTTATTCTCATTTTCTCTAATAAGGTCATTGGCACTTGATTCACATTAGTCTCAACATCACATAAGGCTTGCTCAACATGTATGTCTACCATGGGGCCAAGGGTGTTAGTGCTTCTTTCGCTGCATGCCAGTTCACAATTAGCTTCATCGCATTCTTCCTCATTTGAAGATCTCATCTCTAGCTTCTCATAGTCTGCATCTTCTTCAGTTTTGTAATCCTCTAATTCAAGTGTTTCTTCATTAGAATATATGAGGGTAATTGCCATTTGGAGAGGGGGTTTCTTCCCTATATGTTCCATCTTCTTGCTCTCCTCGTACTTTAAAATATTCTTCAACTTTGGATTCTTCTTCTGTAGTAGATTCCTCCTCGATTTTGAATTCTTTAGTAGCTATTGTCACATCCTGATCCTTCAAGTATGAATTTCCCTCAACGTCTGTTGTGACTTGCTTGAGAAGAGGTGCGTCATTTTCTATATAATTCTCTTGAGCTAGAATGGATGACTTCTCCTCAGCTTCTTGCTCAACTATTGGCTGGTCCTGGAGTGCTTGGTATTTGTCGTAAACCACTGTCTCGATCAGATCAAGAACTTCTTCAGGTTCCATAGTGTAAAGTGGTATTCCAGCTGCTAAATCTAATTTTATTCTTGAAAGTGGGCATATACCGCTGTATAAAATGCGAACAAATTCGCAATCTTCAACTGGACATCTTCTTCATAATTCCTGAAGTCTACCCCAAGCTTGATATAAATGTTCTCCTTCATTTTGTGCGAAGGAGTCGATCTCCTTTTTAATCTTTGTGGCTTTGGATGGTGGGAAATATTTGCTTAGAAATTTGAATTCTATCTCCTCCCATGTGGTGATGCTTCGTCGAGGTTGAGACTTCAACCACGTCTTAGCTCTACCTTTTAGAAAGAAAGGAAACAAGTGGACCTTAATGGAGTCTTCAGTGGCTCCGTCTAACCTTACGCTACTGCAGAAATTCAAAAATTTATCTATTAGATCATGGGGATCCTCTGCATATTCACCCCCAAAAAGTTTTGCACTTTCAATCCAGAGCAATCCTTCCTCCAATTCTAATGGAATTTCAAATTGTTTAACCATGATGTTAATAGTATATAATAGAGAACGAAAAAGAAGAAAAAAATAAATAAATAATAAAAAATAAAATAAAAATAAAAATAAAAATAAAAAATAAAATAAAATAAAAAATAATAAACTAATAAAATAATAAAAAAATAAAAATAAAAAAATTAAGAAAAGGAATAAGGGGATGTGGGTGTGTTGGTGGGTTGAGGGCTGTGTGGGTTCGGTTGGAGTTTGGCTTGGTACAGGTCGCCGGCGGTGAGGTGCGAATTTGGTGAGGAATGAGGAGGGGCGGTGGTTTGGTAGTGTTGGCTGTCGGTGGAGGTGAAGTAGCCTGGTGGCTTGAATCGGTGAGGAAGAGGAAGATGAGTGAGGCTGTGGGTTCTTGGTGGTGTTGTATGGTGACCGGTTGAGTTTTGGGGAGGACCGAGGAAGATGGGTTTCGGTTTGGGATGGTGGCTGGCGAGGTTTTGTGGTTGAGAGAGATAGAAGAGCGGCGATGGCTGTGCAGTAACTGGAAAATGGGATGATTAATGAGGCTGAGGATATTGTTAGCTTGGTGACCGACGAAGATTATAACACCTCGTAAATCTAAATATGAAATTATATGCTATAATGTGGGTTAAAAGGGAAGGATTAGTGAAAATCCGAAAATTAAGGCCAACCTGTATGAAGAGGGCTAAATGGTAATTACCAAACACGTAACCCGAGGCATGAAAAATTGAGTAGAAGACCCCAAATGATAAAAATAATGCCGGAAATGGATCCAGGACAAAAAAATTGAGTGAATAGGCAAGTTTTGAAAATTTTGATGAATAGTGATTTTCCCGGTGTAAAAATACTGCGGTATAATTGTACCGATAAGCGTGAAATTTTTATCAGTATTTTTAGGAAACAAAAATATGTCATGAACTAGAAAATACGTAGGTTATAAATTTGTGGTTGAAATTAGTGATTGATTAAAGTTAAATCGCGTGTGGGACCCACCTAGGGATTGGAGTGACTTAAGTGGCTCATGACCCACTTTTCTCTCATTTTCTCTCTCCTCCCTCTCTTCTCCTCTCCCATGAGCGTCTCCATGGATGAAGCTTTGGAGTTTTTATTTTATTTTCCCAACTTGAAATCTAGCCACCAAATCAATGAACAGACCAGAAAGAGGAGTAATCCTCCCCCCTGTAGCTCCTAATTTTGAACTAAAACCCATCATGTTTAACATGATCAGGGAGGCTGGAGTCTTCAATGGACTCCCTGCAGAAAATCCTTACACACACCTCACTAATTTTCAAGATATTTGTGATAATTTCAGAAATGAGGGTGTGGCAGAAGAGATTATGAGAATGAGGCTGTTTCCTCATTCTTTGGGCTCAAAAGCCAAAATCTGGACGAAATCTCTCACCCCTGGATCTATACACTCATGGGAAGAAATCTCTAACAAGTTCATAGAGAGATTTCTCCCTATGTCTCGTCAAGCTGATGTTAGAGCTGAACTCTCTAACTTCAGAATGTTTTATGGAGAAAATCTCTATGAAGCATGGGAGAGATATAAGGACATCATCAGAAAATGTCCAAATCATGGGGTGGAGAAATAGGGAATTTTACAGTCTTTCTATAAAGGAATTGATCATACTTCTCAATCACATTTAGATTTTGCTGCAGGAGGATACTTTTTCACAGGAACTCTTGAATCCAGATACGAAATAATAGAAGGCACTGCAGAAAGATGTCTCCAATGGCCACTAGAAAGAATGATCCCAGTGAGGAAGCCAGGCATGCTAGAATTAGACAAACAAACTACCATGGAAGCCCAACTGGCTGCACTAATGAATGAGGTGAAGAATCTGAAAACTGACCAAGAATAGCAAAAAATGGGAGTCTTACAACTTACAGCCACTGAGAGTGAACCATGCTCAGCATGTGGTGATCACCGTGATTCAACAGACTGCCCATCCAGTGCCTTGGTATCTTATGCAGAAAATTTTGGGAACAGAAACTTCACCCAGGTCAAGGAGAATCAACATACAGGATGCAACAACAACCAGAATTCTGGAGGCACCATAGTGAAAGATCAGAACCATAATCCATAATGAAGACCACTCATGCACCAAAGAACATACAACAATCAGCAGCAACAATACCAACAAGGTAGTAGTATGGGAAATGGAGCATATGACCAACAGAGAAGACCCAATTATGCTCTGTTCCCCAGAGATGACCAACGCATCAATACCTTGGAGAATTATGTAAAGGAATATGTTACCAGGAACGATGTTGTGGTCAGAAACATTGAATCCCAGCTAGGACAGATATCTGCTAGCCTCAACACCAGAACATCAGGAAAATTACCAAGGGATACTGATGTCCCCTCAAAATCTTCACTAGAGCAGATTAAGGAAGTCACCTTGAGAAGTGGGAGAATTGCTACACAAACCTCAACCACTCCGAAGACCACCACCCTAAATATTGGGAAGGAACGAATTAAACCATCTGAGGAACCTCCAAATGCTACACAGCAACAACCAGCACATGTAGCTGGTGAAGAAAATCAAGAACCTGGAGAAAGAATTGTAGCTGATGAAGAGACCCAAGTGGGAAGAAGCCAACCAATCTGACCACCTCAAAGCAAACAAATACCAGTTACAATTCCCTTCCCTCAAAGAACAAAGAAGCAACAAGATGATAAGCTGTTTGGAAATTTTTTGGATATCTTGAAGCAACTCCATATCAACATACCACTGGTGGATGCACTGGAACAAATGCCCAAGTACGTCAAATTCATGAAAGATGTTCTCTCCAAAAAGAGAGGAATAACATAATATGAAACTGTGAAAATGACACAAGAAAGCTGCAAATACTTGGGCAAGCTTCCACCAAAGCTGCAAGACCCTGGAAGTTTTACCATTCCTTGTGTAATAGGAAATACTTACCAAGGTAAAGCCTTATGTGACTTAGGGGCAAGCATCAATCTCATGCCTTCCTCAGTTTTCAAACAATTAGCCACAGGCCCAGCAAAATCAACAACTGTAACATTACAGATGGCGGATAGATCCATTGTCAAGCCTGAAGGAAAAGTCGAAGATCTATTGGTCAAGGTAGACAGGTTCATCTTTCCCGCTGACTTCATCATCTTAGACTACGAAGCTGATGTTGACGTTCCCATTATTCTGGGATGACCGCTCCTTGCAACTGGAGGAGCAGTTATCAATGTGCAAAAAAGGAAACTCACTATGAGAGTGTATGATGATGAAATTAAATTCAATGTCCTCAAGGCAATGAAGTTCCATGATGAAAAAGAATATCTGGAAGAATGCTCTGTAATTGCCTTGCTAGATCACCATGTCAACATGAGTCCAGAAGATGAAGAATCAGAAAAAGATGATGAAGGAACAGAAACAGAAGAAATCCACAAAAGGAGGAACGGATCCCTTATCTACAAGAAAGAAAGCCTGAGCCTTTGCAGAGAACTGAAAAAGAAAAATAAGTTAAAAGACCATCTGCAGAACATCCTCCTAATCTGGAACTAAAACATCTTCCCCAACATTTGAAATATGCATATCTGGGGAACGCCAACACCCTTCCTGTTATCATTTCCTCACTCCTTACCAGGGAACAGGAAGAACTACTGATCAACAATCTGAAAAAGTATCAAGGAGCTATTGGTTGGACCATAGCAGACCTTAAAGGTATCAATCCCTCTTTTTGTATGCATAAAATATTATTGACTGACCCTAACAGCTTTTCAGTTGAACATCAAAGGAGGTTGAATCCTATTATGAAAGAAGTGGTGAGAAAGGAAGTTATCAAGTGGTTAGACGCAGGGATCATATATCCTATTTTGGATAGCAATTGGGTAAGTTTCGTGCAAGGTGTTCCCAAAAAAAGGGGCATAACTGTGGAACTGAATGCGAAAAATGAACTAATCCCTGTCAGAAAAGTCACAGGATGGAGAATTTTCCAGGACTATAGAAAATGTAACACCCCAAATGTAAATACATATAGGGTGCACCTTCATCATGCATTCAACGCGCGGAAGTCTAAATTTAAACTTTACGAATGCAAATATCAGAGTGCGGAATGGAAACACATAACCATACTTATTCCATATAAAATTAAAAGCGTTAAAACGTCAATACAAAATAAATAACACTAAACATTATTTAATGTAATCCCAAAAAGATTAACTAATCATAAATAAAAACATAATTTATGCCGCATCATAAGCCCAGTCATAATGTGGTTGTGGTTCCTCTAGCCATTGTGTACTTAGTGCTTCATCGAAATCATAATGTGGAAAAGCTTCTATTAATAATTTCATAGCCTCAGTCCATAGGCCTCTATCTGTTAGATCCTTTAGTTTCTCTTCCCAGGTAGGTGGAGTTTCTTCTTCTTTACGTACCAGTCTCTTACCCTTTCTTTCCCACATAACTTTCTTATTACTTTCTTTCATCTTTTCCTGAAATGGGTGGTCAAGGGGGGTGAGATTTTGGGGAAAATCTCAGTAAGGTTCACAGCTGGAGCATTCTCCAACTATGACGCTTACTCCTGCAACAGTTTATAATAACAATACAAAATGGAACATTTAACATCATCATATAAAAATATCATGCCATCATCATCATCATCATATTCCTGCCGGCTTTTACGGACTTACGGAGATACCCAGAGTCCTCGTCAGGTTGCAACTGGAGTATCAGTGCACAGGCCAACATTTAATAGCATGGTTTTAAGTTTCAAAAATATCATAATCACATAATGTAAAGCACTATAAACATATTGCAGTCAGACCATAACTTATCATAGTTTCATAATGGTGGCATACATAGAGAGATTACTTCAACAACTGTAAACACTTACAGTACTTGTCGTTCTTTACTTGTATACTTTCAACTTTTGATCTCTTTACTTGCCTGTTTGCTCCCTTGACTCCCTAACATCATCATATCATCTTTTAGTAACTTATATAACATTCAACATTTGTGTTTTATCCATGTATAGGTCTCGGCTTTGCAGGTTTAATTACCTAGAGGAGTTGTTTTGCTTACTTACCCACTTGTGTAGGTTTTAGGACATTATTAGGTCATCATAACACTTAATAGAATTATTAAAGATTTCATTCTAGGCATGTATAGGTTCGGCCACCATAGATAAACATCTAGGAATATAATTTTTAAAACATGCTTTCAATTATATTATTAACTTAACATGGTTAGATCCTTTCACATTAATCAAATAAAACCTATTTTAGCTACATACCATTCGGCCTTATTGCCCTAAAATACCTAAGGGATTACTTCTACAACATGCTTCTAACATTATTGATAATTTATCATATTTAAATCCTAGAGCATCATTCAAAACATCATCTTATATATTCGGCCAACTAAGGTTATGATCATGCAAAATTGATTTAGAACCTAGGCTACTAAACATGCTAATCTAACATCATCATTTCATCATCTTTCATATCATTTAAACATCTCTTCATGCTTATAATTATCATACATGGTTCGGCCTTCTAGGGATCATATACTTAGGATATCACTTTCATGCTTTTACATTTCATTCTAACCAAGAAGGTTCATAGGCTTACCTTTGATGATGATCAACGACTTAAGGAAACACTTCTTGATCTTTGACTACTTTGAATCTTCTTGAATGAACTTCCTTCCTCCTTGAACATACAAGGCCGCAAGCTTAAAGAGAGGAGAAGAGGGATTTTCTTGCTTAGAGATGAAGGGTTCTTTGGTGGAATTATTAGAAAGAAGGACTAAGATCCAGGCTTGTATTTGATCTTGGAACAATTAGGTATTTATCACTAACACACTCACCATTTCGAAGCATTCATGGACTTCACAAAATGAACTAAACTCTTTGTTCTTTCCTTTGGTAGTGCCGCGGCTATAGAGGGAAAAAGGAGAGACTAAAGCTTGTTCAAATAGGCAACCTAGAAGCCTTGTCATTACTTGATTGCTGGTAGGTTTCGATCACATTAAATGAGAGTAAGGTGGTGATTTGTTGTCATAGGTTAGATTGCTTAATTTAGGGACAAGAACATGATGTCAATTTCCTTGATTAAGGAAATTTAGTGATTGCTTGATTTAAGGAATTGATGATGTGTGACTAATCGTCATTAAAAGTTGCTCCCTTGATTTAAGGGATTGATGAGGTGTGACTAATCGTCATAAAGGTTGCTTCCTTGATTTAAGAAACAGAATTATTTGATTGATTGACATATTGTCATCAATTTGCTTGATTTAGGGAAAGTGATTGACTACTAATCATCATAATCCTAACTTCCTTGTTTAAAGGAATTTGACTGGCTTGACTTAAGGAAATTCGATTTGCATTTAATGGCTTGAAAATCAAATAAAATCAAATTCATTTCCTACACCTAGGCCGCGGATTTTAAATGCTTGGAAGGAAAAGATTTCCTTTAATTTTGGACCATGATTTATTCCTTAAGATTGTGGACCTTTAACCTATTAACCTGACCTAATTTGTGCCTATTTTTCCATGATTTTATGACACTTTAATTTGACTTCTTAGAGCTTGTTTTCTCTAGTAAAACCGTGGGCTTCTTGCTTGTAGGGAAAGAATTCTAATTTAATTCCTAGTCATATAGTACTTCTTTAGGTTTATTATGTCATGGCCTTACTTTGGGCTTTAACTTGATTTGGGTTTCATTTACCTTATTGGACTTTACTTTATCATATAGAGCTTTCTTTGTATCACTTGGACTTGTCCACATTAAATGGAATTAAAACTTCCTTTGTTGGGTTATACTTTGATCCATGAATTCATTAGATCCCTAATGCTTATGTCTTTGGTCCATTGGACCCATACTTCTAATTTACTTAATCATAAACTATTTCATCTGAAATGTCTCGTTTATTAATTATCATAATTCTTCATTAATCATGATACAATATTTAGGGTTGTTATAGAAAACTCAACACTGCTACCAGAAAAGACCACTTTCCACTTCCTTTTACATATCAGATGTTGGATCACCTCGCAGATAAGGAATACTTCTATTTTCTTGATGGTTATTCTGTATATAACCAAATTGCTCTAGCACCAGAAGATCAACACAAAACCACTTTCACTTGTCCCTACGGAACATTTGCTTTTAGAAGAATGCCTTTTGGGTTATGCAATGCACCAGCAACATTCCAAAGGTGTATGTTTTCCATTTTTTCTGATTTAATAGGTGAAGAAGTGGAAGTTTTCATGGATGACTTCTCAGTTTTGGGAACATCTTATGATCACTGTCTGGTCAACTTGGAAGAAGTCTTGCAAATATGCCTATTCTAATTTGGTTCTTAACTGGGAGAAATGCCATTTCATGGTAAAAGAAGGAATTGTCTTAGGACATAAAATCTTCAGGAACGGATTAGAAGTAGACCAAGCCAAAGTGGAAGCTATAGCAAAGATGCCACCTCCTGTCAGTGTTAAAACTCTTAAATCATTTCTTGGGCATACTGGTTTCTATAGAAGGTTTATTAAAGACTTCTCCAAAATAGCTAGACCTCTGTGCCATTTGCTGGAAAAAGATGTGAAATTTGAGTTCAACTCTGATTGTTTGAAAGCTTTTGAAGCTTTAAAATGCAAGTTAGTCACCACCCCTGTTATTCAACCTCCGGACTGGAACTTACCCTTCGAATTAATGTGTGATGTAAGTGATCAAGCTATAGGGGTAGTTCTGGGCCAGAGGAAGGATAAAATATTTCGTAGCATGTACTATGCCAGCAAAACTTTGAATGAAGCTCAAGTGAATTACACAGTCACTGAAAAAGAGCTACTGGCTGTAGTATATGCCTGCGAGAAGTTGAGGCCATACATCCTGGGATCCAAAGTCATTATTCATACTGACTACGCAGCTCTCGGATACCTATTTGCCAAGAAAGAGGCAAAACCACGATTGATAAGATGGATTCTACTGCTACAAGAGTTCAATCTGGAGATCAAAGAAAGGAAAGGATATGAAAATCAAATTGCATATCACATGTCCAGATTAGAGCATACTAAAGTTGGAATACCCATCAAGGAGACGTTCCCTGACGAACATTATTTGTTATCCATGACAAAGATGTCGACGTTCCTTGGTTTGCTGATATAGCTAACTTCCTTGCAGTAGGACTAGAACCCTATGAAGCAAACAAGATGCAGAAAA